AAAGAAAAGAAAAAATAAAAACTATATAGGGCAAAGAAGATATTCACTGAATATTTGAAGGATATTTTTGCCTAGACGAACATTAGCATGACAATATTAGAACCACGAGGGACAATTGATAAATTTTGAAGGAAAAGTTAAACTCCTCTATGAACGAAAAAAACTGGTCTGGTCCTCAATTGGGTTTTCTGGAAAGGTCAGTCCTCAATCCGGTCGGGCTAGATCCAGTCCTGAAGTGATGATGATGATCTTGGTCCACAATGGCCATCTCATCTCTACAACGAAACGAAATCCTACTCCTCGTGCAAAAATGAGAGAGGAGAGGAGTACCAATCCGCTTTTCGCGGGAATTCACAACGACGGTACCCAATCTCGTCTCGCACCTCTCCCCGTCTCCATGCCCATTCTATTCAGAAATTCCCCTTTTGAAACAGACTCCTTTTCTCTATCCTAATTTATTATTACCCCGTGATAATCAATCAATAAAGGAGAAGGGGAAGTAGCCTTTCTCGTCAGCGAAGCAACAACCTCTGGAAGATTAGAAGTCGGGGAATAATTCAATTGATGGCTTCGGAGTATAAATGGGTTCGAATTTTGGGTAGGCCTTGCCTTTCTTGTCTCCTAAAATTCATTGCTTTTCGAGTGGGTATTCAACCATCATTTTTTTTATCAGTATATTTTGGCTTGATGATGCATATTTTTGGGTCTAATAATCTCTAGCATTGCTTGCTTTCGATTTCTTGTTTGAAATGGAATGAATATTCTTTTTTTGAGTTGATACCTTAAGATCCAAGTTTTGGGTTTTCTAATCGGAACAATGCGTCCTTTTCTTTCTTTCTTTCATTAAATATTACTAGAGGAGGGCTTGGATTCATGGTCAATGTCTCGTGGAGCATGGGATTCGTGGTCCTTTGAGCTCGAGGAGGCATGCTTCTGTGATATCATCCCCGCGGAGTTTCCATGTGGTGACTAAATATTGGCAGGGGAAAAATCATGACATTTGTGATGGTTAAGGACTCGGGGAAAAGGAATGTTTTGGTCGGGGTCCGGTTTGATAGCAGCCACACTGCAGAGTTGATTGATTGGGCTGTGGTGAAGGTTGCTGATCCCGGGGACTGTGTGGTTGCTATTCACGTTTGTAGCAATTCAGGTAACTTTCTAGCTTCCTTCCATGTGTGTTAAGAATAAGGCTGGATCGTCGTCATGGTAATGCATTTGTGTTTCCGTTTTAGACTCTAATGCTGAAGGCAAATACTCGTTGGATAGTTATATGGACGGTTACAGCGGCATATGTACTGAAAAACAGGTTAGATTTTTCCCAGTTGAGATGTCAGACTAACCTTTTATACAAAGGCTGGCCTGGCCCGGCTGGTGGGGTGACGAAAAGAAGAATTAATTAAGATACTATGCTGGGTGGGAGAATTTCAGGTTCATCTTAAAGCACAGGTTTTGAAAGGAAGTTCCATTAGAAAGGTGCTGGTGAGGGAAGCAAAGAAGAATGGTGCTGTAGCTGTGATAGTCGGCACGAGCATGGCCGTAGCTCTTGGGTAAGTAAGGAATACTAAATATGCATACTCTGTTGCATTGGTTAATTTGTTGATTGGGGGAGGCTTGTCTCGTTTAGGGGCCGGACTTCCATTGCTAAATACTGCGCAAGACGACTGCCCACCTCTGTTGAAGTCATGGCCATTGACAATGGGAGGATTGTGTTCAGAAGAGGACCCAATTCACGTCAATGCACAGGTTCAATTTAATGATCAGCTCTACTCGAGTTATAGAAAAATAAAGAGTAACAAAATTGTAACTTGACGGTGGTAGGGGCTGCTGGAGATCCTAGACCAAGTATCTTCTATAAGGAAGGAAGTAGCATGTTGTGGGATAGCCAATCTGAACCTGGCGGAATGGGAAGGCGCAGCCTTAGACAAATATTGAGAGAAGAAGACCGTGGTGATGATACAAAGGATGTAGGGTGTGATATTGAACCCGGATGGCCCCTTCTTCGAACTGAACCCCTTAAGAATAAGGTTTGGCATAACTTAATCCCACCAAGAGGTAAGAATTGTCAAACATTTTTCGAAGAGTTTACTTATTATTGTTCATAGTTAATGGACCTGAGACCCTCTTCAACAGATGATACTGCTCTTGCTAAGCTAGTCAGGAAAATGTCAGTGGTTCAGTGGGTAATGACCTTGCCAAACAGGTCTTTGTTACACTCTCCTAGATCCCATTATAGACCAAAGAGCGAAAGCACCTCCGAAGAAGAAGAAGAAGAAGAAAACGGCAGCTTTTCAGATAAGAGTGGAAACAGTGATTCGAAGATTCTGATTGATTTGAACTCTTCTGCCTTCAAATGGTTCAGTTATAGTGTTCTCAGAGCATCCACTTGTCAATTCTCATCAGGTTAGTTGAAATTTTAGTTGACTATATCTAAATCCCTCTAAAAACTAGCCTTTTTACTTACCTACCAGTGAGTTGTGCAGAGAACTTAATTAGTGAAGGAGGCTGTAACAAAGTATACAAGGGACTTCTTCCCAATGGAAAACGAGTTGCTGTCAAGATTCTAAAATTATCACAAGAAACATGGGCAGATTTCACACGGGAAATCGGCATCATGGCTGCAGTCAAACACAAAAACATTGTGCCCCTACTCGGAATTTGTATTAAAGACAATGATTTGATATCTGTTTACAATCTTTTCTCTAAGGGAAACTTGGAAGAAAATTTACATGGTAAGTTTGAGTGCTCAACAAACACATTTTTCCCATTCTATTCTTTCACAAGTGAATATTGCAAATATAAAAATGGAAACCACGTGCGATGAATTATGAGCTTGACTTTCTGGAGTTAAACTTCAAGTCTAAATATGATAATCCTAACACATATATGAGTTCTATCAAATAAAATGTAATCGTAATCTGGAGTTTATTGTCATGTTAGGAAAGGGAAAGACAAAATCTTTGCTGTCTTGGCCAGTAAGGTTTAGAATAGCCATAGAGATTGCCGAAGCCCTGAATTACCTGCACAATGAATGCCCTGAGCCTATCATCCACAGAGATGTCAAGTCTTCAAATATTCTTCTTGGCGATCAGTTTGAACCAAAGGTACTCTACCTATCTCATCACACACTGCATGAGTTAACTCACTCCAAGATATGCTCTGCTAGTTGGCTGTTTGTTTGCAGTTATCTGACTTTGGGTTAGCGATATGGGGACCCACAACAACACCCTTTGTGACCCATACTGATGTGCTGGGAACCTTTGGCTATCTTGCTCCGGAGTATTTTATGTATGGAAAAGTGAGTAACAAAATTGATGTCTACTCCTTTGGCGTTGTGCTTTTGGAATTGTTATCCGGGAGAAGAGCCATTGGATTTGAGACTCGTGGTGGTCAAGAAAGCTTAGTTATGTGGGTAAGAAGTGTTAAGAGTCTCTCATATAGGCAAATTACTCCTAATCTCGAGCTTGCTGGGCAGAAATACTTCTACTCATCTTTCATGGTAAACCTTATGTAATTACTATTTTTCAGGCAAAACCAAAATTAGAGAGAGGGAACTTGAAAGGCATACTTGATGAAAATTTGAATGTAAACGGAGATGATGAATCTCTGGTGCAAAGAATGGGTCTTGCAGCAAGAATGTGCCTTACACAATCAGCTCGTACTCGTCCCAATATCGGACAGGTAAAAAATGATAGGGAGTTTAAATTTGATATATATGTACAGACACAAATATAGAACACACATTTCAATCTGACACCAGATACTGAAGATGATAAGAGGAGGGAAAGACATTGATGAAGAAATGCACATACAAGCTGAGAACCAACATGATTTGAAGAACATGGAAATGGATGGGAACGATGATGAAGTTTATCCCGAATTAAGTGCAGCAGAGTCACACTTAAGTCTTGCCTTGCTCGACGTGAATGAGTGCTCCTCATCATCATTCAGCAGTGTGGATCATAGCAGCCCACCATCCGTGGAAGCATACATGAACAAAAGATGGAGCAGATCTTCAAGCAGCTTTGACTAGCCTCTTTCTGCACATCTCTATATACTTTAGCTAACTTCTTGTTTTACAGTCATACAAAAAAATCTGGCACCCACTAATGAGGTGTTTCATTTGAGTTTTAGGGGGTGTAGACAGCAGGAAGTTTTTCTGCTCAGTTTCACTTGGCAAACATCCAATCATAAATTTCATAATGTTAGTTTCAACTCTTATGCAGTAGCAATTCCTATCCTTTATTAAAGTGAATTGAAAAATCGATGAACCGAGACTTGGAATAATTTAGTTTTTTTGGTACAACAATAATTTAGTTTTATATGTATTTGTTGTGGACTTGAAATTACAATTAATGACTAAAATGGGTCATATTTTCCCCGATAGGACGTGAAGCTCAAAGTATTAAATTTAAATTTAGAGTGTTTGGCATTGTGTTGTTTTTCAGAATTTAGCTTCTGCTTTAAGTGATAATCATTTTATTCTGTTTAACATACCAACTTCTGCTTTTTTCTTCACCACCATTTTCTACATACCTACAAGTTAATCATTCTCAAACACCCTCTCAAACTCATAACCTATTTGAGAGTAATTATCAAATTTTTTTTCACACAGATTTTTTTGTTTGAACTAAAAAAATATTTGTCTCAACAATATCATATAAAGATTCACCAAAATTTTCCTACATAAAAATGGTTCCATATTTCATTTTTTTGGTATGTCTTAAAATAAGGTCCTTCTTTCACTCATCATAATAATCATACCAATTTCAAATTAAAACCTTATTGGGAAGGGGATGGCCAACATGTAAAAGTCCCCTACTTTTACTTGTTTGAAAGGGTAAAAGTCCTACTTGTGTAAAAATGCCAAGTTGCTAACCCAAACACGTCCTTGAAAAAAATAATGGGTGGGGAATATGGAATGATTGTCCTTGGCCGCGAGAAACGGAGAAAGAGAGTTACGGAATATAACCTGACCCCATCTCCCTCCATTAGTATCTCCCCTGGCCTGTTCAAACTTTTGACATACTCTTTGTATTTCCATCTTTTTTCTGGGATTTTTCAATTGTGATGACACCCCCCCCCAGGTAAACTTTCTTTCCATTCAATTCCTACTAAAAGTTTTCAAATTTACCGCTTGTAATGGCTGATTGATGGGTTGTCGTTAAAGACCCACCCTTTCTGGATAAACCCAGATTTGGCGCCTGCTAATTTGAAGTCTTAGGTTTAAAGATTCAATTTTTCATGTTGATCGATCATTGTCTATCTGCCTGTCTTTTCTAGGGTTTGGTTGTCTTGTCGGTGCAAGGAGGCCATACATATATTAGTTCAGGAAAAAAAATGGAGGATGCAGAAAGCAGCTTAACGGACAGCTTTTGGAATGAACTTTTGAAGGACAGTCATGCCTGCACTCATGCCCACACCTGCAACCCACCTGGGCCTGACAACTCACACACCCACACTTGTTACCATGTCCACACCAAAATCGTGCCGCCTGTCGCTTCCGGCGACCATGATAAGGCGGCACCCAGCGGTGAGGACACTGCTGAATCCGTGGAGGATAGGAAGGAAGAAATGAAACGGCCATTGGGGAACCGGGAAGCGGTCCGCAAGTACAGGGAGAAGAAGAAGGCAAGGGCGGCATTGTTGGAGGAAGAGGTTGTGAAGCTGAGGGCTCTAAACCAGCAATTGGTGAAGAGGTTGCAAGGGCAGGCCGCACTTGAAGCTGAGGTGGCAAGGCTCAAGTGTCTGCTTGTGGATATAAGGGGAAGGATTGAGGGCGAGATCGGGTGCTTTCCATACGAAAAGCAGCATTTGAGGAGCCGCAGAGATGATGTGAACCATTGCAATGTTCAATGCAATGGGAGAGATTCACTCTATTGCTTCCAACCCGGCGGTGGTTCAGGAGGAATGGGTTCAGAGGGGACAATGTTGAACCACCAAGGATTCGACAATTGTGGTTTCAAGAGCCTGCAGTGTTTGGGGGGTGCAAATCAGCTGATTTCGGAAATGAAAGAGATTACCAATGTTTCTGGTGGAAGTAAGAAAAAGAGTAGTAAGAGAATTACCGAGAACTAATTTCTTGGCTTCTTTTTTTTTAATTTTTTTTTTTGAGCAGCGGGTAAGAACAAGAACATCTACTTAGATTCTCATGCTGGATATTTTGTTTTCTTTGTAAATGTATAGAGTGGGTATTTGTCAGAAACAAATGCCATTATTCTGAAATGGTTTTGTTTCCCTTGAATGCTTAATCTGTTAGCGAGAGAGAGAAAGCTGATTGGTGAACAGGTGATTAGCAAGTTACCCAACTGATGTCTTAAAACTATTAATGATATGACAAAATGTTCCAGGGATTATCCATCGCATGAATTCCAGCCTCTCCTACATGTTTTAAAGCTCTCAACAGAAAAGCAACACATTCAAGATCCATCAATCTGCAGCTCATCCTCGTCTTCGTCACGGTAGATACTCTCAGCCATTTGCCAGATCTGAAGCGTGTTGTCCTCAGCAACACTTGAGATGACCCATGGCTCATTCTTGTTCCAAGAGAAGTCAGATATCTTAGCTTTGTGACCCCCGTGAGAAAATATGAGTTCAGATGGGCCATCCTCAGCTTCTCCTTCCAACTGCTCATCTCCCAGCCTGAAACCCATCTCAATGGTGAGCAAAATAATACCAAGGATAGCAAACACTACCTATAAACACAGGGATCTAAAGAACATTTTAGGACAGGGACTGATAGGTTCCCTCTCAATGTGTGATAAAAACCACATTTTCTTTTTGAAGTGGAAAGAAAAACATTTTGGGATAGAGAAACTGACATGGAGTGCTTTACAACCGTACCTATTAATATCCCAAACCATTACCCTTCTGTCACCAGCAGACGAAGCCAACACAGTTTCATGGTTAGGATCCCATTCCACCTGGAATACTTCATCACTGCAAAGAATGTCTCATTATGTTCTAAACACAGACTAATCTTATCATTATATATGCTTCAATCAGAACTGTTAGATAATTGTTATCATATTTATACTTTTTAATGCACTAATCCTATTAGGGTAATAAAAGGGCATACGTATGACTGCTTAAGATGTGCAGTGGAGAGCTCAGCTTTCGCATGTCAAACAAACCAACTGTAGTGTCTGAAGAAGCTGTTGCAACTACCCACTCATTATATGGATTGAATGATAAATAGTTCACCTGCACGGAAGAATAAGATAAGATGCATCCAACACCAGAAGTCCAGAACACAAAGGATCACTTTAGTCCACAACAAAGGACTATTCCAATACCAAGCTTATGGATTTAGAGCTTTTATTATTCATTTATTTATCACATGTACACATTCACAAATCACAAGGGGTCAAGGGTCGTCAGCAGAGACTAGAAGTATGCAAAACCTGAAGAAGTGATGTCTTATTCAAACAGCTATTTTCATACAATCATACGTAATAGGTCTTTTTCGGTAAATGGCATGTCCTCCATCTTTTGGCTGGTTTGACTGTGTTGTGCTATTAGCCAAATAACTAGTGATCTAGTGCATTTGGCTGATTGATATTCATCCAACTAACGTAATTGTTTTTTTTCTTTTCATTTTTTCATTCAATTCATTTATACTCCGTATTACAATTACATGTTACTAGGTTAGTACCTCGTTCTACTGAAATCAAAATTTCCTCTATAACTACACTACTACACCGTATTGTGCTCTATTTCTACTCTATAAGCATCCAGTGAGTAGGTTATGAAGAAGGTGTCCAGTGTGTAGTTGAAGAAGAAAAATGTGCAACACACCTTATATAAATGTAAGCATTAAATAAAAGAAATGAAATAAATGGCAATGCCCTTAAATATCATTGGCAAACAATGTGTAAAGTAAAATGCAGTGTAAAATTCATAATCACCTCCTTTTCATGAACTAAGACAGACTGCTGAGGCTTATTTGTGCGCGTGTCCCAAATAATTAGTTGGCAATCATCTCCAACAGATCCAAATATGTTTTCATTCTTTAGGTGCCAAGAGACATCTTCAACCACACTTTGGTGCGCCTGCAACACCATTCGTGAATTGTATACCTTATATTATTAATTTATTATACACCGTAAGACATATAGTATATAAATCCAATTAATCATCGAGATCAACTGAACGAGTCAAATTAATATCCGACAAGCCAACAAAATTGTATCACCAGAGTTACCTGATAGATGAAATTTGCCTCGAGCGTCTTGTCATTGGGCGTGGCAAATATGTTCCACAAGCAAATTTTGCAATCATTTGAACCACTCAAAAGATTTCCCTCCCTAAATGGACTCCAGGACAGCCCATACCCTTCTTTATCATGACCTTTCAGTCTCAATTCAGGGTCACAAGAACCCCCTTCATCAACATCCAAAGGCTGTTTGGCAAAGTCAAACAGGTAAACTTCACTGCAATTAGTTTTGGCTGCAACCACAGATGTGTTTTGCGGCATACACCTAGCTCTATTCACTTCCCCATCACTGTGTATCTTTTGTACAATCTGCACCTGTAATCAGATTGCTTAGGGTAAGTAGAAGGCGTTGATCTCCTTTAGAAAATGGTATTCACACAGGAAATTTATCGAACACCTTGTGTGATCAGAAAAATCCCAGCAAGCATTGGTTCAGAACACATTCACATACAAGGAAAAATGCGTATATCTAAATGTTATGCAAAAAGATAAAGAATAAATTTTGATCAGTAAACCTTAGGGGTTAGAGATCCGGTGATATCAGGTTCCAATCCAGAAGCAGGGCTCCGAGGAAGGTAGGCATGAGCGAGCATAAGAAAATTTGGGCAATCGTCAGAGGTATGGGTCCCCAGAATGAGTTTATGTACGGAGAATGGTCCATCATCAGATGGGGGAGAAGGAAGCCATTGAACGGTGAGAGAAGGCCACTCAAGGGAATGAGAGATGACGAGATCGTATAACAACGGCGTGTTCTTCTTCCACACCGCGAACTCCTCTTCCACCTCCACATCCACCTCCTCCGCTGCTCCGCCTCCGGCAGCCGCCACCATTTCTGACCCTCCCATAGCTCCCGCTCGCTCTGTCGGACGGATTCTGGAAGAATGGAAGAGAGGCGCTGAGGCTGAGTGAGCGGCTTTGGTTTCCCCCCGCCAAAAATAAAGCGAAAAATGGAGGGAAAAATAATTGGGCTGGGCTTAATTCAAGCAGTTTCACTAGGCAGCCCGGCCGGCTAAAACATACTGAGTATCTTAACAGGTAGGTCCGTCTCTGAGTGTTTGTCCACTTTTGACTTTTGAAACTGTTTATCTAAGCACTTTGACTCATCAAATTCTCTCAATGTGTAAGCCTAAATATAGTCATGTGTGATCTTGTTTGATTCTTCTTAACATATAGATTATTAATATATAATTTTTATAATTTTTTAATATACAAATTACAAGATAAAATGGATTAAAGAAGTGCATTGGATGATGTGCAAAAATGAAAGTGGACAAACACTCAGGGACGGAGGGAGTATGTCGTATAATCGTTCATTTTCCTTTTCTTTTTATCTATATTTATTGGAATTATCCAAACTGTTCTATGATGAGCTATAAGCATTGTTGATGTTAATGAGTGACAAATTTTTTGAAGGAAATATATGACATTTAGACCCATTGTTTTAAAAAATAATGTCTTTTAAAAATGAACAAATAAATCCGGACAAAGTAATTGTTTGTTAAGTACATATTGCTCCTTAATATTTAACTAAATTAAGTTGAAATTTGAAAATGACTTTAGTTAGAAACGGAATATAATTAAAATGGTACGGATGCACTAAAAAAGTTTGATGACCAAACTTTCTAAGTTCCAACCAACAAAAAAGCATGAGATTAAATGTGCGAAATTTCCTTCATATATTTATGTAATTTAGGACTTGTAAAGGATTAAGCAATTAATTCAAACTAATAATTGTATCACTTTCAAACTTTTTGACTTAAATTGTAGCTAAAATCAATCCATGGGATGGAGATATACATTTTTTTAATTAAATATTTAAAAGGTAAGCTCTACAAATTGAGAACTAGTATGATTATGGAGTACTCCGTACTATTTTATCAAATATGCAATGAAAATAAACAAAAAAATTAGGTTAGATTTTTTTTAACAAACTAGATCAAAATCATGAGGTATAAATTGTTAGAACATGATTTCCATTTGGCAGCAATAACTTCAACATTTAATTTTAATATTTTCAAAGATAATACATAAAAAAACAATCTAAAACCATACGAGTAGAAAACAATATTTCCAAACCAGACAATGGTCATCATGTTGGATAACATACCATATTAATCTTAACATTTAGCAGTTTAATGTATTGTGTATACTCCGTAATAAAAAGACAAAATTTACATGATGAATTGGTTGTTTTATCTCTTTACCAAAAGCGGTTTGTGAATTGACAGGGAGTAGTAATTTTTTTTTGTTCCAATCACTCTTTTTTACCGTCCCCGCGTGCTGGCTGCCAGCTTTGCAAAGGGTAGAACACTTTTCTTTATATAGGAAAAATCCAAAAGAATACCACAAATTCAAAAAAAAAAAAAGCAAAAGGTGGTATGGTGATGTACATATTCATGTATGCTTTAGTTTAGGTAGATGAATTGTTTGGCATAGAATAATCCCCCTGCCCTCATCCAACTATGCAAGCAAAACAAACATCTTTTTTTTTTAGAGAGAGCCGCAAAATAAACCAAACATCTCTATAATCAACCAAACAGACAAACAAGCCAAGAAACACATCCTTAATTAATTTTCACACTCAATTAATTAAACACAACAATCAAATGGGCGTAACACAATCACCACAGTATGACACATAAATCTTTTTTGCACTGAAACAGAATGGACTGGATTGAATATAGGAAGATACAAACAGCCTGGATTGGTTCCAGCCATGAGATGGAATCACCTACATGACAACACAGGCAGAAGTGTTTTCGTCACTAAAGGCAGTGGTGTAGCGGACTTCGGTGGAGGAGGCGCGCGAGAGCTGGTACGCTTGCGGGTTGTTATGGTTGTCTTCCACCCTGCGCACGTACCCGGCAGGGGCTTTCTTGTCGTACACCCCTTGGGCGTAAGGGTGGGCCACCACGTCGTAAGGCACGTACGGCCAAATCTCCGCCTTCTTCCCCGTCCTGTGGGCCACGCGCTCCACCACCTTCCCCGGCTCCACGTACCCCGTCACCGTGAGCTTGTGCTGCTTCGGGTCGACCTTCACAGACGTCACCCCTTTCATCCCTTCAACCGACCTCCTCACTTTCCTCTCGCATCCCTCGCAATCCATCTTCACTTTCACCTCCACCGTCTTAGCTTGCACCATCATCATCATAACCGTAACGTTAGTCATCACCGTATTGTACAATCATCAACAATCAAAATCAAACCGCATAATACAAGTTACAACTACTTTGTTTTAAATTAAAGGACTTGCAAACAAATGTCATGTACTCAGTAATGCCCATCAATAGACCAGGATGTGGCGTGATTAGAAAAATGTTGTTTATTTAGCTTGTTGCACATGGTAATGGTAGGGCCAACCTAAGTTACGGACGATATTGGAGTGGGGGGACAGGTTGCTTTAGGCCGCAATCAATGGAGGTAGCACAGTGCTGATATTTACACACACATCATACTGTAATAAGATAAATGAGCACAACTCCTCAATAAATTACCATTTTTTTTCTGGGAATAATTGATTTGGGGCTGCAGGGGCAAAGAACATAAAGAGAGAGAGAGATGAAGATGTAGGAACGAAAGATCTGGGTTTGGGCCATTAAATGAGTTCATATGATTTGTACGGGTTGGGGGCGGCAGGTACGAGGAACAACACCACAGGTCGGCCTATACTAACTACAGTACAGTACATACAATAACTGAATTTGGAACCCAGAGTGGAAAGATTGGATTTTTAATGGGGGAATTGAAAAGGCAGCTAGCTAGCCAGGGCCGGGGGGGNCTTCATTATGGATTTAAAAAAGAAAAGGAAGGGTGGGAAAGATGTGAGAGAGAGAGAGAGAGAGAGAGAGAGAGGAAGTACCTGCAACTGTTTGCGTTTCTTGTGCTTAGAGTCGCCAACAGAGCAGTCAAAGACATCGGAGATATGATCCAGCACTCCCATCTCTCTCTGCCGATTGTAATGAAATCCGGCGACGGCGAGTGGTAGTGGTGACTGGTGGAGGAAGGTGTGGTTCGATCAAAGGAAATGAATGAATGAAGACAAAGTGATCGATAAGACTCTGCAAAATAATGGCAGAGAGAGAGAGAGAGGGCTATATAGTCTTTTTCGCAAATAACTCCGCTCTCTGTAAATATATTATTGTCTTTTTCGTGTATTGACAGTGGCAATTGGGCAAGGCGCCAGCCACTCTCGCTATCATCGATCCATCCCTTTCTTCTACTTCGTCGCCGCTTTGTCTTCTTCTTCTTACGTTGCCTCTCCACCGCTTTATCCAGGCCTACTAAGCCTGGGCTTTCTATATTGGGCCGAACTCACGCTTCTCCTTTTCCTTGCACCCTACTTCATATCCAATAGCTCCAAACCCTGAAAAACAGACTCAAACTGGAAAACCCAACTTAAAAAATTATTGGTCAGCCCCGCAAATTTCACTTGTTATTGCTTTGGGAGTAAATTTCCAAAATAATCTTTTCTAATGCGATATTTTCCTAAATTAATTTTCAATAAATTTTAATTACCTACTGATGGACAAGAATTCCACCAAATTATCCAACTCGTAAGAACAAGTAAGAAACAAGAACTCGAGAATTATGAAATTATATGCTAGGTTATTCTTGGAGTTTTTCGTCTGGATCCCCTCTATTTATACATGTCCTTTACATAATTAAGGTAGTTTATCATTTATGAGAACTAATCCCGTGATTTGCGCGATCCTCTTTCTTCGGCTCTTTTACCGCAACCTAGCCGCATCTTTCTCCGTGAAGAAGGACTCTCCCTGTGGCCTGATCCGGGTCAGTTCAGGCCCAAACCTTTGGGCCGGCCCAAGGCCAATTCCATTCCTCTGCGGATACCCGAGAGCGTTCGGGCACATAGTTTGGGCCGCCCATTAAGCACCGGCCCATCACCTAGATAGTATTTTACAATTCAAATTTATTTTCAAAGTACTATTTAAAACATAAATCTCAATTGTAAAATAATATGTAAGTAATTAAAATTTATTGGATGTTAATTTGGAAAAAACATGTCATTTTGAAAATTTTCTTTTCTTTTAATTGAGAGTTGTTTGGTGTGAACTCTGAAAGCGTTTAGACTGTATACAGAGAGATATATGGGGAAAGGCATGGGCTTGTTTCCAACTTGCATCATTGCATATGCGAAATGAAAAAGAGAGATGTAGAAAAAACAATAGGAAAATATTAGGGGTACACTTTAGTGTACCCCAAACATCCCCTATCCCCTCCATCACTATAAAAAAAAACAAAAAAATTCAAAAAAATAAAAAATAAAAATAAAATAAAATGAATGGTAAAGAGGGGAGTGATGTACATTTGAGATACACATTTGGTGTACCCTAGCATATCCCAAAACAATAATCAAGAGAATATAGATTATAGAACGTGCTTCTTGGCACATGTTTTGTCGGCTATTAACTCAAACCAATCCGAGTCTCCCCCGCTGGATCGGAAGCTCTGTGAACAGTTGCACCTCAGTATAGTATTCTGTACTCAGCTCTGCTCTGCTCGTCGACTTCTAACGTTCTGCGCAAAAATGGCAGAAACCAAACCATTGCTGGGAGAAGGTGATGAGTGCCAATCTGAGGATGGACCCAACCGCCCCTTCTCTACAACAAAAACTCTGCTGCGTGGCCGGGACGACCATCGACTAGTGTCCCTAGATGTCTTCCGCGGCCTCAGCGTCTTTGTAATTATCACTATCTCTCTCTCTCTTCAATTTTCTTGCTTTGCGCTCATCCCGGCTTTAAACTTGTCTGTCATTTTTTTTTTTAAAATTTGTCTCGCAGCTTATGACATTTGTGGACTACGCTGGCTCCATCTTCCCAACCATCGCTCATTGCCCTTGGAACGGTCTGCGTTTGGCCGACTGTGTCATGCCCTTTTTCCTCTTTGTTTCCGGAGTCTCACTGGCCCTTGTCTATAATAATAAGGTGCCCTTTCATTTCCTTCTTTGTTTTCTTGTGTTTCAGATCCAGTTAGCACTAAATGCGAATTTCAATTTTCTGTGCCATGGCTACTCATGATCGAGTAGGACGTTTCAGACAGGCGAAGCTCTACTTGGAAGGTTGTCTCAAGAACATTCAATTTTTTTCTTATTGGCATTTTTCTTCAAGGTAATTTTGTTTCCGGATTTGTCGTGCTAACTAGCTACTCAGTATCCAGTGATTGCTTTCTGTCATATGCATGTCTTGAAAACGTATTCGCAGTTTGTTTTTCCTCTTACACATCGTTTATGTATTCTATAACAAATTTTCAGGAGGATTCTTGCACGGGATAACTTCTTTGACATACGGTGTGGACATTGAAAGGTTGCGTTGGCTAGGAATCTTGCAGGTGCCATTGCTATAGGGTTTATTAGGCACGTCGATTCGTATTTTTCCTTCTTTTTTTGTGTGGCTATATACTCGAAAACATGAGTATATATAATAAATCAAGGCCGTCGTGATCATATCACTCTTAGTAAATGTAGCTTGATGAGTTCACAAATTGATCAAAGAGAAAATATGAATGCACTCATTCACCATCACTTCTGTACAGAGAATAGCCATTGGTTATATAGTAGCTGCTTTATTGGAGATATGGAACCCTTATGGAAAGAGGAAAGGGGTTGGTTTCTTCATGAACTATATCTGGCATTGGTAAGTTGCTTTTTAGTGGGCATTAATTCAGAATAGTGCAACTGTATCATGTCCAAGATTTATGTTTGTGTCCAGGAAAAAAAAAGAGTTTTTTATCCATATATTTCACTTTTCTTTCTTTCTTTATAGGGCCACTGCATTTGCACTGTGTACTACATACATGGGTTTATTGTATGGTTTGTATGTCCCTGATTGGCAATTCAGTATCCCCCAGTCAGCTACCTTGAATGATTCCAACAAAAGCTATATTTACAAGGTTAGATGAGGTTATCGATATTTAAAATTTGTATAGCAATTGTAGAATATTCACAGGGATACCCGCACTTCTAGTCCCCGGATGTGTAAACTGGAACTTGTATTTCGTTTTAGCTGCATAAAGACATTTGAGTAAGCGAAGTAGATAAATTTTGAATGGTTCTATTGACTTTAACAGGTAAAGTGTAATGTAAGAGGTGATATGGGACCAGCCTGTAATTCTGCTGGAATGATAGATCGAATTATTCTGGGAATTGGTCATCTTTATGCAAAGCCTGTATATAGAAATCTGGAGGTAACCACCAAGTTAATACTTGTATAGACCATATTTAAAATTTAAGGGCATATGCAAGGCAGTTTGACTAGTAAATATATATATATATATATATATATATATATATATATATATATATATATATATATTGTGATTGACAGGAATGCCGAATATCTGATCCCCCTTCTTGGTGTCATGCTCCCTATGAACCTGAAGGTATTTTAAGGTAAAAAAGATGGTCTTTTCTTTCTCCTCTCTCTGTGAAGTCATTCTATATACTATTTGCAACTAGGGCTGCAAGTGAGCTCAGCCGGCAAGACGTTTATGGTTCCAGTTAGCACATTAAGCTGAGGCCGAGCTGGAAATCCAGATTCATTTGCAACCCCAGTTGCAACTCTTCGTCTAGTTGCTTACAATAATCTTTTCTTAAATCTTGCACTCCTGATCATAAAGTAATGCTGAACCCTTTTTTTTTCTTTTGCCTTTTGAATTTGGGAAGCTCACTAACAGCTGCTGTCACTTGCATTATTGGACTCCATTACGGTCATGTTCTTGTACAGATGAAGGTGAGGCGGCATCCACATTAAGCTAAAGAGTTTGCCCTTTGAAATATGTAACATTAGACGTAGTAATTTTTTGCAGGAACATAAAGAAAGGTTGTACAATTGGTCCATTCTTTCATTTCCACTTTTGTGTCTTGGACTGTTCTTAGCTCTGCTGGGTACGTCTCTCTATAGCATATTTGGGATTAACACAAATATGGAAAGGGATGCTGCATTTTTTTAAAAAAAAATGCTCTGCTGCTTACTACAGGTATCCCTCTAAACAAATCTTTGTACACTATAAGCTACATGCTGGTGACCTCTGCAACTGCTGGAATCACATTTTCCATTTTGTATTTATTGGTGAGCCTTGAATCTGTTCTCCTAATCATCATAGCTTTCGTCTTTGCTTAACCCCGTGAATAACCTCAAAACAACAACAAACCCAGTAAAACCCCGCGAAAACCTTTTACTTGCAATGACACGCGTGCATTCTAGCTGACATACATGTGTGGTCTTGGTGGTGGTATGTTGCAAAGGTTGATGTTTATGGATGGAGGAAGATATTCTTTGTTTTGGAGTGGATGGGAAAGCACTCTCTTTGCATATTCATTCTGGTAACATCAAATGTAGCTGTGATCCTTATCCAAGGTTTCTATTTGGGAACTCCTGACAAAAACATCGTGAGTTTTCCATCAATAGTTTGTTTTTCGTTCCAGAATTGCATTACTTTTCCACTTTGAAGCTCACTCTGGTATAAACTACTACGGCTACTACTACTACTACTACAGGTTCATTATATTGTAACAAGGGTCGTGCATAAATGAGATAGGTATCACTCTCGTAGCTAGCATAGAGCGTGGGGATCAGAAATTGATGTTAGCAGATAGGTTCATTCCTTTTTGGTGAGAATTGAGAAGGAGAAAGTCAAGTCAAAGCTCTGCTCCATGTTTATGTATTACATAATCTTTACTTTGTCTAGTAATACAATGACTTGTAATCCAAAAAGTGAATAGGAGTGATTCGAGAAAGTCTCCATATTGATGGAATAACGATTTTCCTCAATTACGGAGTAATAATGTATGACTGAAACATTATATATACGCAAATGACAGAAAAATGTGATCGATGATTAGGAGTTAAACCTCATATGTATTTCTTTTTATGTCTAATTCCCCCGAGCAGAGCAAACGCTAGGGGAAGATTGAGCGCGAGCTACTGGAAGCATTGTGAAGCGCCGAGGCTTCGTTAGAAGATCAGCCAACTGGTACGTACTCAGAGAGCCTGGAAAATTTTATCCTCTTCGAAGATTGGCTCATGCACACGATCAAGTTCCGACACAATATTGACAATAACATTATCGAGTATATATGTTTGAATAGAATCCAAACCTTGCGAAGATTTTGAAGCTTTTCTTCTGATAAAGAAAATATGAGTAGGAGCAAAAAGAGTTGTACTGGATCTGAAGACAGCTTAGAGGTGGAGAAACTATGGAGATGAATGTGTTTTTTTGCTCCAAGGGAGAGAAAACAACGAATAAACCATCATGCAATTTAGCATTTGTCACCGCCAGTATGTGCATGGGATTGGAAACAATGGAAGATGCCGAGATTTATCAACAGTGGCAGCAACAAGCAGTATTAATGGCAATTCGATCAGTCATCATACCATCCAATTGTAAAGGTTAAAAACTTGGAAATGTCTATTGTTCAAACGGACAGGGTTAGGAGGACTAAGAAATGTCAATTGTTCAAACGGAGTCCCGTAGGCACTCCGGATCATCACATGACATTGATTCCCTAAGTCATCGAACCAACACTCTCATATCATATTAAACACGACTCCAATTCCATGTCAAAAAATTGACTAAACAATACCTTTGATATACGCCTAAATCCTTTCTAGGTAAAAAAATCCAAATCTTTTGGCGTTAGCAAATCCTAAGGGTCTGTTTGGTACACAGAATGAATTGAATTGGAATTGATTTAATATCGAAATGTTATGGAATTGAATTAGATGGAATTGAATTCTCCAATTTGAATTTATTTTTTGCACAATCTATTCTAAATCCATATATTTTTTTCCCTTTAAAACATCTGAATTGGAACTATAGTCTACAATTCTAATTTCATGACTTAATTTTCAGATATTAAGTGGAGCTTAAATGTAATTGTAATTTGTACAAGTTGTTAATATATGCATGCAAAACATTAATTATTACTCCCACCATCTTAAAAAATATTTACATTTGATTTTTCACGAGTATCAAAGACGCTTTAAGCTGGATAAAAAAAAGGCTGGAGGAAGCAGTGGAGGCGATCAATAGTAGCTCGAGTGATTGGTCATATTTTAACTCCAATAATGACAAATTCTATTTTGCCATTAATTTCAAAATCCTGTTTACCTTTTTAAAAAAAAAACAGGAAAAATTAAATGTAAAGATAAATTTGGGGAGTAGGGAGAATTCCCATACGCAATTGGGCCCTCCCTCGCTAAAAGTTAATCTTCACAGTCCAGCCCACACATCCACTCCATCTGATCTTCAAACAAGGCAATTATATTTTCTAGTGGTGGGCCCAGTTTATGATATTATCGGAAATTAACACGGAATGAATACCAAAATCATTTAATAACATTTCGGGCATGTTTGGGAATAACGTTAGCTATTAGTGTTAGCGTTTTGGAAAGATTATCTACTGACAGTGTTTAGCATTAGCATTTTTAAATTAATTTGCACCGTTAAAATTTTATCCAAAACGCTAACGCTAATCTCTGACGTTATTCTCAAACAGACTTTTCATTTTGATATGCAACAATAAAATACCAAATCATGCTCAAAGTGTGCCAAAAAATTGAACATGTATAACTCAAATAATCTTAAAATAAAAGTACAATTTTGTATAAAAAAAGAAGTAATGATTTTGAATCTAAAAGAATTATGAACATAAGGAATAAAAGATAATAAGTCCAAATTCAAAAAATGCAGGACAATTAATATATAACTTTAAAAATACTGGTAATGAATATAATAATGAAAATAATAATGAAAAAACATTTTAAAAAAATAATAAAATATGAAGTACTCTGTATATGTAAGAAAAAGTAGACAAATAAGTATTTGACATAATACATAAATAAGAACACTATAAACTATTGGGTATAATTATGTTGAGGCATAATATGGTGTTAGTTTGGTTTTTTTATCCACTTGTGATACTTTCCAAAAACGCCTCAAGAAACATATATCAATCACCTCTTCCTTTGCTTGCATGTCCCTCGTCCTCTCTGTTGTGTTGTCTCATTCTACCTAAAACAACGCATTTCCACTCATCAAATAATTTCTAATTTTTTTAAAAAAATGTAACAGTGATTTTTTTAAACATCTAAAAAATTCCAGAGCAAGACATGGAGTAGGTAAGTGCACCTTTCCGGGTCGGGCATCTCAATTAAACAACAACATAACTGCTCACCGTCAAAACATGTTTTTTTTTACTTCCTCCAACCTAAGAAAAATATTCACACTTTATTATTTAAAAATTATAGAGACTTTTATACACTTATGTGTTACCATTAATTATTTGATAAAATGAAATAATTTTATTATCTCTTATTTTTTAAATTTTGACGTAATTATTAAATACTCCGTACTAAATTCTATTATTTTTACAATAAATCAATCTTTAAATAAAACAAATTGAAAAAAAATAATACTCCCTCCGTCCCTAAATAAATTTTCTCTTTCGTTTTTTCTTTGTCCTAAAATAAACTTCTCTTTTCCATTAAAAAACTCATTTTACCTCTTACTTTTCATGCCCTACCTATCACATCATACCTTTTTACTAATAATCTACATATCACATTTTACTTTTACACATCACATCAAGAGTATTTTTGGAAAGTCAACACAAAAATATCTCTCCCTTAAATCTTCAAAAAGTCAAAAATGGAAGTTTATTTAGGGACGGAAGGGAGTACGTGACATTCATTTTTAAAGGAAAGAAAAAGACTAACAGTACTAGTTTTACCGAACTCACGTTCTGTTCTAACAACTACTCATCGTAGCAGTAGGAAATTGAATCGGGGCACGGAGGTCCGCCGCAAAACTCACCGCCGGTGCGGTGGCAGAGATAAATGGGGAGCGATGGAGGACATAATAAAGATATGGATTGTGGGACACTGACACGTAAGACGTACCGCACTCAACGCCACAAAAAGATGCCATGATCATATAGTATATATCACCACCCTTATTAGCTTGCGGCCTCGCCTCGCCTGCTGCACATGGTCTAGCTGTCTTTCATGGCCCATCTTAACGTACCCATCTAACTTCATTTCATTATTAGTCATTAAACTTCTTCTTAAACACATTACTTTTATTTTGCCCTCCTGTTTAGCTTACTGTAATTAATTAATAACTGCACAAATATTTCTGTCAGCCCAGTATTATTTTTTTCAATAAATTTCTCCCATATGGCCAACTCACTATTCCAGATTTGTTCACTTGGAACCTCACCCTAATTTGAGTCAAGACAGAAAAGCACTTATTACTGCATTATTAGATTGAAAAAAATATAAATAGATACGTAGCACCATGAAAAAAATTTCAAGAATTCAAAATAAAAATAGGTTAGTACATTTTGAAGAAAATAAGAGAGAAAACATTTCTGTATATTTAATTGGCTTGTGAATTGGTTTAATTACAAAGATTTAATCCTCTTTATATAAGAAAAAGGTAAAGTAAATAAGAAAATTTCTATTCCTACCAACATAAGAATTAAACAAACTAGGAAGGATACTAAATATTAAAGCTAATCCAACTAGGAAAGACTCTAAACCAAATCCCAAAGGGATTCGGTTTCCTTCTTCAATCGCACTTCCTTTTTCTGTTTCTAACACTTTCTTTCTTCAATCATGTTTCCTTCTTCTATCTCTAACACCCCTCAAGCTGGAGCATGTTTAGACTTATTGTAGTATTGTTCAATCTGGTACTAGTACAATACACCATCTATTCATATTGTATTCTGAAGAATTGATATCTTAGGTTGTACGGAGTAATTAATTGTATTTTGGCCGATTTTAAAATTTGTGATCGTTTTTACCAATAATTTTCCAAAAAATAATTAATGAACATGATTCTAAATTTGCCGGGAAGTGGGGGTAGTTGTGACCACTTACCTCTCGCTATCTATAAATAAAAAGCAGCCATTATCGCACATATAGCCTCTGCGTATACTCACTCACTCGTATAATCTTTATTAATTTAATTGCGCTTCCGAATTCCGATCGATCAGAGCAATTTTTTTTTTATAATGTCCAAAGAAATGATGAGCGAGGAGGGACGGGCTTCCCACGGCGGGAAAGACTACGTGGATCCCCCGCCGGCGCCCCTCTTCGACTTTGGTGAGCTCCACCGCTGGTCTTTCTACCGCGCCATCATCGCCGAGTTCGTCGCCACCCTCCTCTTCCTCTACGTCACCGTCGCCACCGTCATCGGCCACAAGAAGCTCAACGCCGCCGACCACTGCGACGGCGTGGGCATTCTCGGCATCGCCTGGGCCTTTGGTGGCATGATCTTCGTTCTTGTCTACTGCACCGCCGGAATTTCAGGTTCTAATTCATTCTTTAATTACTCCCAATGTATAGTACTTGTCCCGAATTTTAAAATTGAACTCAATTGGATTTTAAACAGGTGGGCATATCAATCCGGCAGTGACGTTCGGGCTGTTTCTGGCTAGAAAGGTGTCCTTAATAAGGGCGGTGTCATACATGGGGGCACAGTGCTTGGGTGCCATCTGCGGGGTGGGGCTGGTGAAAGCGTTCATGAAGGGCCACTACAACCAGCTCGGCGGCGGCGCAAACGCCGTCAGCGCCGGATACAACAAGGGCACCGCCTTGGGTGCGGAGATCATTGGCACATTCGTCCTCGTCTACACCGTCTTCTCCGCAACGGACCCGAAGAGGAGCGCGCGTGACTCTCACGTCCCCGTCTTGGCTCCCCTCCCCATAGGTTTCGCGGTGTTCATCGTCCACTTGGCCACCATCCCCATCACCGGAACCGGCATCAACCCGGCCAGGAGCCTTGGCGCCGCCGTCATCTACAACAATAACAAAATCTGGGATGAGCACTGGATCTTCTGGGTGGGCCCTTTTGTGGGAGCTCTGGCAGCCGCCGCCTACCACCAGTACGTCCTCAGAGCTGCCGCCGTCAAGGCTTTGGGGTCTTTCCGCAGCAACCCTAGCAATTGATCGATTTACAGTGATTGATTGATTAATTAAGCTTAATTTCAGCTTTATCATTAATGCAACGCTATATATATGTGATTGATTATATTGTTTTTATTAAACTTGCGGATTGTGTACGAACTTTGTGTATCTGTTTGCTTTGCTGATGTGCTAAGCTCTTCTAATTTCATTGTGGCTAATGCATATATTTCATCTTTAATTTTTAATAATTACTCCGTCTTAATTTAACCATTTATTGGATCAGTCTTTACATTCCGAATAAATTTTTAATTGTTCATACGGGTTGATTTCGGGGACACTCACGGTGCAACATTCATAAAATAGATTTTCTATCCCCTAGCCTTCCTAGCCCCCTATCCTAACCTCTGTAAATGGGCTGAAGAGACAATAAGGTGTAAGTTAAGAGAGATTTTTTCAATTTTGCGAATGGAATGCCGCAGGTGCTTTTGTTGTCAACGAATGACACTGAACTTCAGGATAACTGGAACGATTCTTTTGTACATGCAGAGTATTATCTCTGAAAATGCAAAATCTCATGGATAGTATGTGCTAGCATTTGAGCGGAGAGTTTGTGTTAGAAAATTCTCGAGATAACTCAGTTTAAGCTTCAACGTTTATGAAGCCAAGCGAATGATTATAAATTATCAAAGATTAACAAGATTGGGAGTTTTATACAACTTTGCATTTTGTATTGCTACTACATTGAGGTAACATAATCTAATGGTGCGTGAAGCGGAATTATCTTAGTCCTTGGTTCGGGATATGGTGGAAACGGTGGTCGCTTGTAAGAGTATCTCCAATTCATTGGTAATATTTATGTATGGGTCATCTAATTTAATTTGGGGATGCTTGAAGCTTCATATATACTCGGTATATAGATCAACAATTATATTGCTAAGACTGCAATATTATTGCTTTGTACCATAGTGATGAACTCCCAATTGCTAATAGAATTCATATTTCTTTCAAAAAATGAGAAACATCATCAATCACATATTCTGTTTAAAAAAAATAAGAAAAATACTCTGTACAAATTTATTTCAGATTGGCAGAAAAAATAAAAGTATAAGCAACAGCAAATCATTTCCATAATAGTTGTTTTCCCTGAGTTTGAAGAATACCTGATTTCCAACATTTATCATCTTAAAGCCTACAAGTAGTGGCCCTCATACTCAAAATAAATGCATAGGGAGTAATGTTTGATCAAACCAAGTTTGGAGAAAAAACATTAAAAAGTGAAAATGGAATTTACTCAGGCTCCGTTTGGTACAAGAAATTCAAACTATGGAATTGGAATTGAAGACTTCAATTCCAATTCTGGTGTTTGGTAGCACAAAAATTATGTGGATTTGGAATTGATGGTGCCAAAAATGAATGGGAATTGGTGAATTCAATTCTATGGAATTGAATCTCATGGAATTTCAATTCCAATTCCATCAATTCCGTATACCAAACAGACCCTCATACTAATCATGATGAACTCCATACAATACACTGCTCTATGAGACCGTATATGGAGGTAAATTGGAGTTTGACTTCAATGAGTAAAGGGGACATCAGCTCCAATATATTGAGCAAATCTTAGTAATAAAATTTACTGCATCACAACTTAAGAGTAGCTCCTCTAACTTACTACCAATTAAGAGAGTGGGGAAGGATTTTCAGATATAGAGTGATGGGATAAACACAACAACTACAAATGAGGACAGAAAAAAGTCCCATTAATTGCAGTGACAGCAACCATAAATGAAACTCAGTTACATATATATATATATATATGCAATTTCATTCCCATTTGGGAGGGAGGAATTCTTTCTACAATGTCACCTTCAATTACGAATTAATGCTGTAATATAATACTCGTTCCACAAAACCCTTCCGGTTTAACTTTGGAGAAAAAATAAGAAAAGTGTAATTTTGGTTGACTTTCCAATTTTATCCCTAATGTGATGGGAAAAAGTAAGATGTGATAGTTTGGTTATTAGTGAAAAAGAATGATGTGATAGGTAGTGTATGAAAAAGTAGGAGTAAAAGTGGTTTTTTAATATAAAGTGAAAGTGTTTTGTGGAAAACAAAAAAGCGAAAGAGGAAGAGTTTTGTGCAACGGAAGAGGGAGTAATTCACATACCCACACCCAAACATTTTTAATCAGGCCGGGTTAGACTGTCCCCACATTCCAGATTTGCACAGTAATTGCAAGTCCACCCATGCCCAAAAAGAGTTTTTTCAGCACCGGCCGTATAGTTATTTAAAATGGTTACTTGAATCGAAGTCTTGATTTGATAAAACAGAGATCAAGATCTATTTTTGATAAGTGCAAAGGCTCTAAATTGAATTGAATAAACTTTTATGAACATTTTTCTAACCCAAAACAAAATGGAACAGAAACAGTGTGGTAGGAGTAACGTATAACTATTGCAAGTTTCAATGGACATGTTTGCTAAGCAGTTACTTGCTAACAATTTGTAAAAGAATGTTAGGTAACTTAATATGATACCAAAAGTAAAAACTTAAATGTTCATCTCTTGATCCTATCAGCATTTTACATTGCATCTTTATGATGCAAAACATCAATTATATTTGCCAAACACCTCAAATTGCATTTTGACTAGTAAAAATGTTGTTTTGGGTCAAATCTGTACTGTGTTAAATAAATTGGTGTTTACCAAACAAAAACTATATTGGTAAAGATGAAATTTTAGGGCAACCTATAGAAACGAAATGAACAAAATGATTAAATAACCAATAAAAAAAGACTAACAACTGGGACTTGGCTTACTTGTAAAATACAAGCCAAGGGTGGAGAGTTTCAAAAGCGGTTGACATAACTCTTGTTCTCAATCAGAACAGTTAATCCTAATAACCGAAGCAATGTATGACGAGTTTGGTTAAGATTTTTCATTATATTGAAACTGGAATCGACAGTTCCCGAAATGGACCATATCCCGCCTTAGTTTTAAACAAACCTGTTATTCAATTAAGTAGTCCCTCCGCACCAAAATTATCGTCATGTTTTGAACACAAAAGCTCATCTCTTTTAAAATGATTTCATTAAGGTAGTGTTTGGCAATTAGCATTTCATTTCAATTCATGCATTTCAATTCCAAAATTTGAAATCCTAAATTTCAAATGACAAATGGAAGTGCATGGATTTCAAATTAAGCTTTGTTTTGAATTTAAAGAATTTGATTCAAATCCCATTTCAAAATGCTTAAGTTTCCCAAACATGGAATTTAAGCCAAATCCAGATTTGAAATTCAAATTCATGTTCTCAAACATACCATAAAATAATATAAAAAGTTCTCCAAAACAAATGTTGACATGTTTATATTATTTTATAGGATGACCAATGAAAATACACACACAAAAAGAAGTTATTAAAAGTGTAGAGATGACGATAAGTTTGGGAGGGACCGAGAAGCATTATTAAAATACACCTACCTGAAACATTTTATATATGCAGTTGAGACTTCCAGTATGGCATCTACTCTATAAAATACTCCCTGCATAAACTATGACTCCCTATGTGCTTCTGAAACTGCCCACACATGTCATCGACAGACAACATTGCCATACTTGAAAGAGAATCTAATGGCAATAAATAAATAAAGGAACACAATAAGTCTATTTGCCTGCAACATAAAATATGCACCAAACAACAACCATTTAATTATACATGCAACTTGCTTGCTACTGTATTTTATATATATATATATATACACACACACACACATACACACGTACTCTGTGTGCTTCTTATAATATGTAGGAAATGGCATGACTTCACAATATCAAAGAGATATCAGTTTTACCATTTCCACTAGCTTCCTTTATGAATTACTACTCCCTCAGTAGGTTGAGAAGCTCAGTTGGTCGAAAACGTGAAATCTTAGACCGATGACTTAGGATCGAGTCCCACAAGCGGCAGTGTGGGAGCTATCCAAAAATCCCGTAAAGGGTGAGAAGGCCCCTTGTGCGCGGTGGGTACAGGTCTAGCGTTCTTGACCGGCTGAGTCAGTATAATTTACCTCCTCCACCATCTTTGTCGGCCAGGGGGTGAAGGCGCCTGGGGAGGATAATTCCACCTTTTGGACTGATGAATTACTACTCCCTCACTTCGAAGGGGGGGGGNTGAGCAAAAGAAAGAAAGACCACAAAAGGGACTTCACGAGTCATCAACTAACTTAAATTATTTGTGTTACCACTTACCAGCACACTAAATCACGTGCACTGTCCATTCCATCAATAATTAATTAATTACTACTCCTCCCAATCCCAACTATGGAGCTTCAAAACAACAATGCATTTTTATACAGCTATTTGGAAAAAATCTACTCCGTATTTGTATCCCACCACTTTTGTACCTCATTTTGTACTTCCTAACACGAAATGTAAGTATATCACTGACTTGGTGTCACTATTGCACTTACATTTTGTGTTAGGATAAACATTTGAAATGCAATGTGGTGTAAAAGTAGCACTAACCTTTTTTTTGTCACGTGCATGTTATGTAATGTCCTTGTTGCGTTTGGCAGGCAAACGTGGGACATCCTTAGGAGCAAAGTAATACAGACTATGACTCATCATAATCACACACAACTGTCTTAATTGGATTATATCACACATAATGTGTAGCATTAAACCACATGTTAATATGATCACAATTGAAAAGCCAGTAGCTTGAGAAACATCAAAATAGATAGGGCTTAAAATCCATGACAGCAAGAACCGTAAAAATAATCTTTTTATCCATAATGATAGTAGAAAACAGAAGAATAACAGCAAGCAAAGCTAAAGATTGCTCCTTTAGATTTCACTCTTCAAGAAAGTCATAAACTAACACTGAACTGAAGAGATAAGAAACAATTCAAAGGCAGAGAGATGATGATGATGATGATAGCACAAGTCCCACAAGTTAAATCCAAGAAACCCAAATATGAAAAAAGAAACAAGATCAACATAGACAACAACCAAGAAGAAGAAGAAGAAGAAAAGATAACAGGTTGAAATTAACCTCCACCTGCAGGTTGCAATGCAGCTGCTCCTAATTGGAACGGGGAGGAGGCGCAGTCTCCTCCTCGGGTTTTCTGCAGAGAATCATATGCATCGGAGTGAAGATTCCGGTGTCTCCCCCTCTGGTCAAATAATCTGCAGTGACGAAGAGCATCTCGTGGACGTCGACCACGCCCTTTGGGGCAATCCCAATCCACGCCAGTATGGTCACCAGAATGTGGTTTCTCCAGTAGGCTATTCTCCCCATCTTCAGCCTCGTCCACCACGGCTCCGCCGGCGGCTTTGCCAGATCCCTCTCTTCCACCACCTCAAATCCCACCCTCCTGGCAACCTCGGCGATGTCCTTGTGGTTCCTCAGTCCGGGCAGCGCGTCGCCCCTCTCAATCCCGTGGATAATCTCCACGTGCTCCGGGTTTTCGGGCCGGTACAATTCGGTCGTGACCCATTCGTAGGAAACGTACATGGATCCGGGTTTCAGGACCCTGTAGATCTCCCTGTAGACGTCCTCCAGTTTGGGCGCGTGGCAGGTGGCCTCAATCGAGTACGCGCCGTCGAAGCTGGAGTCCGGGAAGGGCATCTCCATGAAATTGCCGCACACCACCTCGCACTGGGATTCGAGCCCGGCTTTCTTGTTGTGGATCCTGGCCCTCTTCACCTGGTACTCGTTGATGGTGATGCCCACGACTCTGGCCCCGGAGTGGGCGGCAATGGCACGCATCGGACCCCCCACGCCGCAGCCGGCGTCCAGGATTCGGTCGCCGGCCTTCACTCCGAGCAGATCGACGGCCATCTCTTCGTGGACTCGGGTGGCGTCGCGGTGGGATTTCCCCTGGATGGAGGGGGAGAAGTGGAAGGATTGGCCCCAACCCCACTCGTAAATGTCCGTGACGAGGTTGTAGAAGGTGTCGACGAAGGCTGGGACCTTGTCGGCGGTCTCGATCTCCTTGGGGCGTCGGAAAAAGGACCAGTACTGCTTGTACTTGTCCTGGACATTGTCCTTGTCGATGGAGCCGGCGGAGAGGTGGACGGCGCTCTTGCCTTTCCGCTCGGCAGGACCGAGAATGCACATGAACCAGTAGACGCCGCCGGCGATGAGGGAGGCGGTGCAGCAGAACATAGTGAGAGTGTCCATTGTATAGATTAAGGGGAAAGAAAGGCCGAGAAGAGAGGTAAAGCGGGCGTTTTTAACTTAACAAATGTGGAGTAAGTGGATCCATTGCTATTTTTAGTCCCACACAAAGTGCCAAGTTATACTGATGATGACACTGTAGCTTTCGTTTGATCGGTCCAAGAAGTCTTCACAGCTAGGTTTAGAGGGGTGGCCACATGTCGTATTGCTCCCTTTTCCACACTTTTACTTGCACCGTTCCCATGTTACCACAATCTATTTGCTCTTCAAATTTTTTTAAAAAAGTTAATCCAATCTTGAAACTGAATTTAGATTACAATTTTATAGAATTGAATTAGATAAATTAAATTCTAATTCAATTTAAAATCCTTTATATTTAAATTTTTAATTTTTAAATTTTTATATTTATATTTCTAATTTAGTTTTTAAATTACAAATTATAAGTCTTAATTTTAAGTTTTAATTTTTTAATTTAGAGTTTATATTTTTAATATAAACTTTTATGTTTTCTATTTTTTAAATTTTTTAATTTTTAATTTGAAACATATAATACTTAAAATTTATTTTTAAAATTTATATTTTTAATTTTGAAATTTTAATTTTAAAATTTTGGTTTTAATTTGAAAATTTGAAGTTTTTTTCTTAGTTTTTAAATATAAAATTTTTATTTTTATGTTTTCTTTTAATTTTAATTTTTAAAATTTAAATATTTTAAAATTTATATTTTTTAATTTTAAAGTTTTAAATTTTAAATTTTAAATTAAAGTTTTTAGTTTTTAATATTTGTTTTTTTTTATTTTTGAAATTTTTAATATTCACTTTTTAGTTGTGCGGAAGAGCGGCAACCCTAGGTGCGGACGGGAGAGACGATTCAGGTGTTATTAATCTGAAAGAAACTGATAAACCATAGATCTAACTATCGTTAATGCCGACAATGATGAAGATGTCGATGAAGATGACGTACCGATGAAGTGAATGAGCGGCATGTTTACTTGAGAATGAACACTACGTAATTTGATAATGAGCTCTACTTTGTTTCAGAATGAATACTAAGTTATTCGTAGATGATTACTATAGTTATATTGTATAAATGTATGAAAATAAGTACCAAGTTATTTCAGAATGAGTACTACGATATTTCAAAATGAACGTTTATATTTGTTTGATAATGAGCACGACTTTACTTTAAAATGAATGCTACTCGAATATACCTCACTTCTCGGATAACCGGCTGTTCTCTCTGAATTGTATAATAATACAAGGTTAAACATTGAAAGTTGTGAAAAATTAACGTCATCGCAATTGTAGTATTAGAAAATAAAGCCTTAGAGAAGGTTTACAACTTTACATCCACAACATAAATGAATTATATTCCGTATATCATTTTATACAGGATTAGTCTTGAAGTTTCAAAGAATATAATTTTCAATAATTTATGGTTTGTTATGACTTATGATTATAAAAAAGTTAATGTCAAACATTGGCATTAATTATATTATATTTTTACCATATTGTATTCACTTAAATTTATATTATTATTTCACAAGTGAGAGTAAAAATAAAGTTGAAATTATTATTAATTTTAGATTTCTTTGGTAATCTTTATAACTTCACAAAAAATATTGTATACCTCAACATTTTTCAAAATATTCTAATTTAAATAAGAAATTAAAATGTTAATTTTTAAGTGTATATAGTAGAATTTTCATTAGCGAGAGTTGTATATGTTTTATGTTGTCTAATATTTGAAAAATGTTATAAGAGTAAAATATACTCCCTAATAGACAAAAAATGTTCTACCCCTTGTCCCCGTGTATGACACGGGTCGAGTAAAAGACAAAAACCACACCCAAAGTCAAAAGTTTTAGTCATTCTTTTATATAAAGAGAAAACCACTCACATCTTTTTTCAAAAGTTACTTTAATTTATACTCAGTATTAATTTAAGAAAAAATTATCTCAAATAATCCCACCTTTTAGTGCTCTTTCAAAAATAATCCTACTTTTCACTCTCATAATCTCACCTTCCCGCATGTGTGCGAGTTTGGGTCGCCGTTAAAAAACCAACGGTCACTTAACGGAAATTTTGAAAAATGTCCGTTTTTCGAAAATAAATGAAAGGTGTGATTATTTTAGGTAAATTCACCCTTTTTCGTTTTTTAATTTCTTTAAATGTATTTTTATTTTATTTTTTGGAAAAAATACCAAATTTAAGTGTTTTTAGAGTGAAACTAATTGTTTTTTTTCAATAACCAATAATATGGTAATAATTAGAAAATAAATTATTCTACACAATAGAGCTAATTTATGAATTTCATAACTAACTACTACCTCCGTTTTGTAAGTTGCATTTACTGTATTTTTCTTGAGCTGCACTTCAAATTATTTTTTGATACTACATTATTATTATTTCTTTAAAAAATGGCACTACAAAACTTATGAATATTTTTCGATAGTTCTATATAAATATTTTTTGTGAAACAACATTACAATAGTTGTGAAAATAATTCAACAATTTTTTTCTCTAAAATAGAACTTTTATTTTTATAACTCACTACATTTTCTGATGTATTGCAATTTTTCCATGAACACTATGAAATTTTTATTGATAATCTTATATTGCAATAAAATTTTCTTTCTAAAATGGAACTACCCAATTTGTGATTTTTTTAATAATTCAATACAAATTTTTCCCCAAAATAGTAATTCAAAAGTTGTGAAAATGACACAATATTTTTTTCTCCGAAACGGAACCCATAAATTTTATAAATCAGTACAAAATTTGTTAATCGTTAGACAAATCTCTAACAAGAGTGTATTGTTATATTTTAAAAAATATTAATTTTAAATTCAAAACTAAAAAAGTAAAAAGTAAATTTTTCAAAAATAATCTCACCTTTCATTTATTTGCAAAAAATAGGCATTTTTAAAAACTTCCGTTAAGTGGCCGTTAGTTTTTTAACGGTGACCCAAAACTCGCACACATGCAAAAAGGTGGGATTATTTCCGGTGACAGTGAAAAGTGAGATTATTTTTGAAAGAACGCGAAAAATTGGGATTATTTGAGATAATTTTTTCCTTAATTTAATTAAAGTGAGTTTTGAACAAAAAAACTACCCATTTGAAAATGGAAGGACACAAACACATTGTGCATGTGGTGCATAAGTGCATTTGATTGTAGGCAAATTCTTAGTGAATAGGATCTATGTTAATCTTATACGGAGTAGATCTTCGTACATTTATAGCATAAAAGAATTGAGTTTTTGGAAGAAAATACTATTCATATGCAAGTCTATAAAAAATGTGAGAAAATTACATTTTAAATTTAAACATTAAAAAGATGTAAGCATCATTCTTGATTATACGGTCTAATGACAATTTAGAAAAATAAAACATTTTGAAAAAAACATGGTGGCATTTCAAAAAATAAATCAAACTTTGATGTCACTACAAAAATGCACTCCTAAAATATAAATGTGCATTGCGATAGACAAATGCACCATTCATATTTTTTATATTAATGCTCCATTTGATACAAGAAATTCAAATTATGCAATTAGAATTGAAGATATAATTTCAATTCCAGTGTTTAGTAGCGCAAAAATATGTGGATTTCGAATTGATATTACCAAAAATGAATTGAAATTGGAGAATTTAATTCCATCAAAATAAATTCCTTAGAATTTCAATATCCAAATCAATTCCAATTTCGTCAATTCCATGTAAGAAACAAACTCTAAGGCCCCGTTTGGTACATGGAATTCAAACTATGGAATTGGAATTGGGGACTTCAATTCCAATTCTAGTGTTTGGTAGCACAAATATTATGTAGATTTAGAATTGACAGTGCAAAAAATGAATTGAAATTGACAGAATTCAATTCTATGGAATTGAATCCTATGGAATTACAATTTCAATTCAATTCCAATTCCAATTCCACCAATTCCTTATACCAAACGGACCCTAAAGGGTTCATTTGGTACACAAAAATGATGGAATTGGAATTGAATTTGAATTAAAATTCTATAGAATTGAATTTAATAGCATTAAATTCTCCCATTCCAATTCATTTTTTGCACTATCAATTTCAAGTTCATATATTTTTGTACTACCAAATACCTAAATTAGAATTAAAGTCCTCAATCCAAATTCAAGACTTGAATTTGTGTACCAAATGGAGCCTGAGTTATTTTCATCTGAACCATATTGATGGGAAATAATACGTGGCTTGACCCACATTTCCCAATTATTTATGAAAAACAGTCAAATCGGACATGTTTAATAAAATGGATGAATAATATAATATTCCTCCGTAGATGCTTCCACTTTCTCCTATAAAAGAGAGGGTTGCCCTTAATGTTGAGGGGGCCAATTTTCCTCTCCCTGCCCATTTACTCTTTCTATTTCTAGGTTATGATATACTCCTTCCGTCCCATAAAGTGTTACCCATTTTGACTAAAGTTGAAATTAATGGAGGGATAATTTTGTGTTGACTTTCCAAAAATACCCCTGATGTGATGGGTAAAAGTAGGATGTGATGTGTAGATTATTAGGAAAAAGGTATGATGTGATAGGTAGGGTTTGAAAAAGTAAGGGGTAAAAGTGGTTTTTTAATAGAAATGGGTAAGGGATTGTGGGACACAATTTTTTTAAAACGTGTAAATCTTTTTAGGACGGAGAGAGTATTTTCTTATTCAAGAGCTTGTAGCTCCACCATTAATGACTTCTGAGCTCATTTCATTTACCATGTACAATCCCCGATATTAATAAATTCCATGTTGGTAAGGTACCGCCAAACAAGGCTCGTGGTTTTCTCCCGATTTGGGTTTCCACGTCAAAATTCCCTGGTTTATATTTTGATATATTTTTTTAGACTAGTTTATCGTTTTTGCCCTGCTAAAAACAATATACCGGTCAATAATTTACACCATCATGTATTATATACTCCAGTTGTCCCATATCTTTCTTTGTATTGCGCAAAACAAAGAAAAATCTCAAAAGATTGGTATACAAAATAAAAATAAATTTTACATATTTAAAAACTGCCTCAAAAGTTCAAAAAAACAAGTAGTTATAAAAATATTTTATTTTATCATATAGGCCATGAAAAAATGCAAATAAATAAAAATTTATGTAAAGTTGGAATAGTATTTTGTGAAGAAAGATATAGGACGGAGGGAGTATATATGTGTGTGTGTGTGTATTTATATACATACATACATACACATTGGTGGAACCACTTTATCCTCTGGGGCAGCTGCCCCTAGTGAAAAGGAATTGTTTTATTAATTTTTTTTAGTTTTTTGCGGTTTTGCCCCGTCCAAAATATAAATTGCTCCCAGGCCTTTGAAAAAAGTGCCCAAAGTCCCAAACTCTAAAAAATGTATAGCCCATAACACCTTAGCCCAATTGCCTACAGGCCCAACAACTAAAAAAAGATTACTCCATGGGTATGATTGAGATAATATCACCAATATTGAGAGACACAAAGTTACATTTTCTATGGCTAGAAGGCGAAGCATAGGCGATGCAACGCATATGCATACCCTTCTCTTCTGGTAAAGTTTCAAGAGAATTTAGGTATTAGTGCATTATAAACTTTCCTATTAGGAAATGTGAGGTAAATAAATCAAAAAATTAGGTTTATGTGTGATTTTTTTTGAATTTTTGATTTTTTTTCCTTTTTTCAATGAAATGAAATTATTTATTATGTTGATAACTACTCCGTATTAATTTATTACCCCAAAACATATAAATTAATGAACCTAAAAAGATATTAATTGTCAATTGTGTTGGGGTATCCCTCCTACATGGAGGAAGGAGTTCCTAAACAATATACTTGGTGTTAAAAATGTAATTTGTTTTGAGGTGGAGTATAATAATAATAATAATATTTATTATTATTATTATTATTATAAAAGAAAAAAAAAGAAAGGAAATGTTAAAGTGGGGGCTGCCACTTATCTTGAAAAGGCAGTAGCCTTTTTTTGGTGGCCGGTCACGAGCAGAAGAAAAGCAGCAGAAACAGAGACGAAAAATAGAGAGAGCCGAGAGAAGGAAGAAGAGAGAAAAAGAGAAGTGCAACCTGGTTTTGTGCTCCGATCAACGACCAAACGAGCTCCGATCGGGATGAAATTTTAGTATGTTGTTCCTGACCTCTCGATGTCGGTAAAATCGCCTTTGTTTACTGCTGCGTTTTTATTGGGGTTTTCTCACTTTTGAGTGAAGATTATTGTTGTTTGGTGTTCCAAGTTATTACTTGATGATTGTGTGTACCTCTAATTGATTTAGAGAGGATTCTTGGTGTACCCACTGATTTTCTTGGTGATTAGTGGAAGGCTTCGTGGTTTTCTTCCCGATTTGGGGTTTCCACGTTAAATCTTGGTGTTCGTTTATCGCTTGATTGATTGCTTGTNTGTTTACTGCTGCGTTTTTATTGGGGTTTTCTCACTTTTGAGTGAAGATTATTGTTGTTTGGTGTTCCAAGTTATTACTTGATGATTGTGTGTACCTCTAATTGATTTAGAGAGGATTCTTGGTGTACCCACTGATTTTCTTGGTGATTAGTGGAAGGCTTCGTGGTTTTCTTCCCGATTTGGGGTTTCCACGTTAAATCTTGGTGTTCGTTTATCGCTTGATTGATTGCTTGTTGTTGTGTTTGCTATTCTTGATTGGTCATATGATTTTGCCCATTTTGACAACACAAAGACGGGAAAATTATTAATTGCTTCCGCTAGAAAATTGAGGTGATTTTCCCAACAATTGGTATCAGAGCTTGAGTCATAATTTGTGGGTGATTTTCTTGTGTTGTTAAAATGGAGGATAAAGCTGTTTTTGGGGGAATGATTAAATTAAACTCCTCCAATTATCAAAGTTGGAAACCCAGGATGGAAGATATTTTATATATTAAGGATTTGCATGAACCGATCCTGAATAAAGAGATGCCAAGCGGTAAACAAGAAGGTACTTGGAAATTGCTTAATCGGAAAACTGTGGGAATGATTAGGCAATTTATTGATGATAGTGTGTTTCAGCATATTGCTAATGATACCAACGCCTATGAACTATGGGAGAAACTCAAATGCATGTACGAGAGAGAAAATGCCTTGAATAAAGCCTCTATTATGAGAAGACTTGTGAAACTTGATTACAGGGATGGGCATAGTGTGGTAGAGCATTTGAATGATTTTCAGGGACTGATTAACCAGTTGTCTTCATTGAAATTGGTTTTAGATGATGAATTGCAGACGTTGTTGCTCCTCAGCTCGTTGCCAGAAAGCTGGGAGACCTTGGTTGTATCACTTAGCAATTCTGCTCCAGAGGGTAAGCTCACAATGGATGTTGTGAAGTCGAGTCTGCTAAACGAAGAAGCTAGGAGAAGAGATCTGGGTTCCTCCAGCTATTCAGATCAGGCTCAGGTTGCTCAGATAGAGGGTCGTGGAAGACACAGACATAGGGACTTTGAATCCAGGGGGAGATCTAAATCAAGAAGCGAAGTGAAATGCTTCTATTGTGATAAACCGGGTCATAAGATATCTCAGTGCAGGAAGATGAAGCGAGATAAAGCCCAGCAGAAAGAGGAAAATGGTCAGACTTCTGAGAAGAAAGAGGAGAAAGACACAGCAGCCCTTGCAGATGCGGATGATTTATTCTTCGTGTTTGATGACACTAACTTTGATGTTGCTTTTCAGGATTGCACTTGGATTATTGATTCGGGTGCCTCATGTCATCTCACACCTCATCGGGAGTTCTTCTCATCTTACACTAGCGGTGATTTTGGCTATGTCAAGATGGGGAAGGGTGACAAATCATCTAAGATTATTGGGATGGGCACTGTTTGTTTGAAGACCAACACTGGTTGCAGGTTGACCCTCAGAGATGTCAGACATGTTCCAGAGTTTCGGTCCAACCTCATTTCAGCTGGAGGACTTGATGGAGATGGTTATGTTAGCCGCCTTGGTGAAGGAAACTGGAAGCTCACCAAAGGTTCTTTGATCGTGGCCCGAGGTATAATAGAGAATAGGATTTACGTGATGCAAGCAAAGATGTGCAGAGGAGATCAGAATACTGCGCCCTCCACGGAGACATCGCACAAGAGGCTTGGTCACATGCTTGAGAGTTGTCAGAATATCCTCCCTGAAGGTGATATTCCTTTTCTTACCATACATTCAGATTATAGGGGAGAAGATGGAGAAAAATGTTGTGGTGATGATGTTGCTCGTGATGGTGATGTACTTGAGCCACCTCATTCCGAGCATGGAGTTCCGCCACAGAGGGATCCTCAAATGGGTATATTTGAGAGAGATTACTATCGGGATGAAGTGAAGAAGGTGCACCAAAGTGAATGGTTTCAAGCCAAGCGAGATGGGGTTATATGCTTGCTTGAAGGACGTGGTCATTCCCTGGTAAAGTTGCATGGAAGCAAGCGAGCACCCAAGAGCAATCAGGTGTTCAAGTTGAAGAGAAGAGAGCGTTGCTCACAACCTACGGACTTGGCGCAGTTGGTTGTGAAAGGTTTGTATGATATTTATCATCATTATGTTTTACCCCGCATGTAGGAGTGAGGGGGAGATTTGTTGGGGTATCCCTCCTACATGGAGGAAGGAGTTCCTAAACAATATACTTGGTGTTAAAAATGTAATTTGTTTAGAGGTGGAGTAGTATAATAATAATAATAATATTTATTATTATTATTATTATAAAAGGAAAAAAAAAGAAAGGAAATGTCAAAGTGGGGGCTGCCACTTATCTTGAAAAGGCAGTAGCCTTTTTTTGGTGGCCGGTCACGAGCAGAAGAAAAGCAGCAGAAACAGAGAGGAAAAATAGAGAGAGCCGAGAGAAGGAAGAAGAGAGAAAAAGAGAGGTGCAACCTGGTTTTGTGCTCCGATCAACGACCAAACGAGCTCCGATCGGGATGAAATTTTAGTATGTTGTTCCTGAGATCCTCTTCTTCATATCCAACGGTGGGATTGTTGTTTTGACCTCTCGATGTCGGTAAAATCGCCTTTGTTTACTGCTGCGTTTTTATTGGGGTTTTCTCACTTTTGAGTGAAGATTATTGTTGTTTGGTGTTCCAAGTTATTACTTGATGATTGTGTGTACCTCTAATTGATTTAGAGAGGATTCTTGGTGTACCCACTGATTTTCTTGGTGATTAGTGGAAAGCTTCGTGGTTTTCTCCCCGATTTGGGGTTTTCCACGTTAAATCTTGGTGTTCGTTTATCGCTTGATTGATTGCTTGTTGTTGTGTTTGCTATTCTTGATTGGTCATATGATTTTGCCCATTTTGACAACACAAAGACGGGAAAATTATTAATTGCTTCCGCTAGAAAATTGAGGTGATTTTCCCAACAAATTGATATACTTAAATAATTTATTGCAATTTCTCGTTATAGATTTACTAAACCAAAAAATGATATTTTTATTTCATCTCCAGTTGTTTTTAATTTATTTATTTTTCATCATTATAAATAATCTATTAAAAAATTCGAGGACACTACCCTCGAACACTTGCCTTACACCTTATTTTAATATTGCCCCCAGTTATAATATTTTCTATATTCGCCACTGTACACACACACACACATATGTTAAATAAATAAAAATCTTCTCTTTATATATATATATATATAAATTTTTGTTAGAGAATATTTTAATTTTGACATTTTCAAAGTTAAAAGTACTACACCATAAAAAAATATTCAAATCTTAACTCTAAATGATATTGCCAAAGGGCATAAATTGTACTTTTGGCACAAAAAAACTACCACACATAGGTGCTTATTAATTAATACAAGTGCTTTAAGAAAAAATTAGCTACCGAGTATTTGATACTTCATACTACTAACTAAGTAAAGTAAAACGAGGTAGAAAACTAATCCAACTGAATTGAAACACAAGTTTTTAAATGGTTTTAAGAAATCCACTTCAGTGTAAGTCTAAATACAACTATCAAAAATGGCTTGAGAGTTCAATTTGAATTCATATTGTGGACTTGAAGGATATAATTTGGAAGCATACACCCAACCCAATAAAGGCATGCACATCAAGCCGATGGATCTGGGATGGAGGGAGGCTGCCACTTAGGCGGATGTCGGGTGGATTGAACGGTAGGGGGCATCGCCCTAATGTTAATGTCGATAGGATAGAGGCGGTAGTCAATGTCTATCTCCTTGAAGATTTTAACCATCTCATCCACCAGCTGAGCGCGTCGCAACCACCTCTCTCCCATGTCTTGGAAGTTCATCCTGTGTCTCAGCCAAACTGACATTTTCAGCTTGTTTATGTCCCCAATGTTCATCAACACAACCATGGGGGACGAATACCAGTGCTCCTTCTTGCTCCCCACAAAGTTCACTATCCTCTGGTTCATTACTTTTATCTTGTCCATTGGCGTCACTATGTGGACCAAGAAGTTCACTGAGTCTCCCATGTCTGGGCTCCGGTAGAAGTTCCCTATGGGCCGCATTGCCAGCGTGCTGTTTGGGAAGTGAGCCTTTAGGTTGTCATACCTCAGGAACACAGTTGTCAATATGTTCATCTCCTCCACCACCATCTCTACTCCGTCCACCTCGCATTTGTCCCCCACATCGAACGGATGCATCACGAACAAGAACATGATTGCCTCGAACACGTTCTTGCATTGGTTCCCAAAAATGAATGTCATGATCACCACTTGGGAGCTTATGTACATAAGATCCCTTCCCGTTACAAATCCTAGGATTACGAGGCTGATGAGGAAAATGATGACCGCCACCAACACCGTCACCATTTGGTGCAACTTTTTAACTGTTGTTTTTGTGTCGTCCAACGTTAGTGCTAATGCTCTTCTTTCTCTAAACACATTAACCTACAATGTCAAAAGCAATCAAAATATTTATGTATCAAATAAAGATAAACAAATATCCTCATTAATTGCATCCTTTACCGTAAGAAAAAATGTTTGGCATAAACTATCATTTATGGAGATGATCAAGGAAACCCCCGATCACTTGATAAGGACTTAATGTGGTTTTGGAAACAAAGGTAATCTTGCATGAGATTGATTTGTTATCTATCACTCCGAACCAATCGTTTTTTCAAGCAATTCTCTTTCTAGAATAATTGACTACGTACTCCTCATAATACAAAAATTAATTTCTCTCTCTAATTTTTCAAAAAATAAAGAGTAAATTTCATAAATGGTTTCTAACTATAAGTACTTTTCCATATTTAGTCCCTAATTTTTAGATATCTCATAAATGGTTTTTAATTTTTGAAAAATATTTCATAATCGATCCTTCAAGGGCTATTTTGAAAAAAGTACTCTATCATATTTTAGACTAAAGAAATAATTATAGAATTGTTTTATAAAATTGAGGACCTTTTAACGAATATCTACGAATGGACTAAATATGAAAAATCATTCTTAATAGGGAGCCATTTATAAAATTTACTCAGAAATAAAATAAATAAATAAATGAATCCATGTTGTTCATGGTAAAAAAGAACTCCATCCGTTCTCAAAAAGAGTTTCAATTTTGACCAAGTATATAAATAAGAAAGTGTTAAATTATAGTTGACTTGTAATTTTGTTCTTGATGTGATAAGTAAAAGTAAGATGTGATGAAAGATTATTAAACATAAAGTATGAAGTATGAAGTGATAAGTAGGGTATGAAAACGTAAGGGTAAAAGTGTAGGGGTGTTCATCGGTCCAAAATCAAACAAAATCGGACCGAAGACCAAATTGATTAAACTCATTGACCGAAGACCGGACCTAAATCTATTCGAGTTTGGACCAAACTTGTCCAGACCGATTGGATCGAATTTTTTTTTAAATTTTTTAAAAATTCTTGAAAAAAACTTTTTTAATTAAATAAATTAAAATATCTATTCAAGTAAAGCATCAAAGTATATTATGAAACTTAAAATATAGAATTTACATATTTAGGTCTTTTTGGTCCAATCGAGTTATTAGGTCTATTCGGTGTAATCGGTACGGACCTAAATTATTTCGGATTTGGACCAAACTGGACCGAAACCCGAACCCCTTAATTTTTTGGACCGAAGACCGACCCAAAATCCATTCGGTCCGAGTTTAGTCTGGACCGAACGGTCCGGTTTGGTCATTTTTCTAGTCCGGACCTAAACGTGAACAACCCTATAATTTGAAAGAGGAAATATTTTTGAAAACTGAAAGAATAGTTAAAGAAAGTGAGTATAATAAGTAATATTGTACTCCCTCCGTCCCAAAAAGATTTACACCTTTCAAAAAAATTGTGTCCCACAATCTCCTACCCATTTCTATTAAAAACCACTTTTACCCCTTACTTTTTCAAACCTTATCTATCACATCATACCTTTTTCCTAATAATCTACACATCACATCTTATTTTTACCCATTACATCAAGGGTATTTTTGGAAAGTCAGCACAAAATTGTCCCTCCCTTAATTTCTACTTTAGTCAAAATGGGTAACACTTTATGGGACGGAGGGAGTAGTTTGGAAGTGTATCAATTCCAAACAACCAGTGGTTAGTTACTTCTTACTCTCGTTTTCTATGACACAATTCCTCCATATAGTGACACACCAATATTCAAGCATTTTGCTTGGTTGTGGATAGTTGATTGCCAATAAATATCCGTAGTAGTAAATAACTATTTCAAGCAACTTCTTTAAACTTTAAGGAGATTGTTTAGGCATTGTACGCACCCTAATAATAGCATAATTCCCTCTCTTGAAGTGGATCACTAGTGATGAAAATCACAACTAATACGAGGTGGAACAAGCTAGCCCCTTGCTAAACACCTTATCACAAATTTTTGGAAGGATTAATTAGTATGAACTTTACTCATTTTAATTTCATATCCTTGAAGATAAGTTGGATCCGTGGGTGTAGATAAATGTTGATTTGAGTATGTGACAATCCAATGACATGGATTGGTACTCAACTCATTATGGAGTGGGAATTAATTAGATAGAGGGATGTGTGTGTGTGGATGATAAGGGGGAGACTTACCACCCAATTTTAAAGGGACGCTTTCTTGATTCTTCTGCAATCACGCGATCCACCCAAAAGATTCATGGCTTGCACTGCTTCCTCTTGTCGCAAGAAGCGCCTCAGATCGTCCAAATATATGGAGCTGATGATAAATACATGAAATATATATGAATCAAATACATTATTTATGCTATATGAATCTACTAATACTGTTACTCTTGATGGATTGATGATGATGATGATAAAGTATATTATTATTATTATTATTATTAATATTATTATTATTAATATTATTATTATTATTATTATTATTATTACTTGGACTTGGGCTTGGCCACATTATGAAATATCTTCCTGGCAGCCAATTTAGCCTCGCACTCGCTCCTGATCTGGTTGGCCTCGTACTTCTGTGCCGTGCAATGGATTTGCTCATCTAGCGTAGACAGCACCCCGTGCCGGACCATTTTCACCAACCTCTTCATGTTCCACGCTGAAATGTTCCTCGGGTTTAACTTGTGTAGAAAATCAATTGTTATCCCTTGATTATGTTGCTGTTGCTCCGGCTCTTCCGCCACGCTTCTGGTGGATATGATGCCAGAGATTCTTGTCGGCGTTGCCCCTCCACCACCACCACCATGATCAACCACCTTGTTGAAATCGTTGTTGCTCTTTAGGTGCTTGAAAGTAGATGCTTTAAGCTCCGGGGGCAACTTCACCCCAGCATCCTGAAGCTTCCACACCTCTGACATCGCCCTATCTTCCTCCTCCTGCTGGTTGTGTATCTCGTTCAACGGGGGACCCGACAAAGCTTCGATGATATACTGGTTGAAAAGTGACTCCTGAATCCGGTCAAAGAATTTGCTAACGTGGAACGAAGAAGCCAGTACTTTCACCATTAGAGTCTTGAGCAGCCAGAGGGTGATGCCGATCAACATGCACACCATGATCTTGTTGACAGACCGGAGGAAGTCGTTGTTCCCTTCCACCTTCTTGTCGAACATGGAGTGCCATGCAATGAGCACCAGCCCTAGCCACAAGCAATTCTGCACCGCTCTCCTCACCCCATACACGAAATACAACAACCTCTTCCTTAGCAGAAAGTTCCTCTCGATGAAAAATACGGCCACCCTGATGGCCCATCCCGATACTAACCTCTCGCATATCAACACAAGAATGAGGACCTCCCACTTCCTAAGCAGAGGGTGCACACCAAAGACGTTACAATGACCACCAAGCTGATCCACTGTGCCAGGGTGAGCGCGTCGATTTTCGAACTCTTGAATTCGTCTGGAATGTCAAAGTCGTCCAAGAGAGGATCGTCTTCCTCCTCCTCGGGCGACTTTCCCATCATCAGTCCAGAAGACCTCATGGTCTGAACAGACGATTTCCCAAATATCCTCCCGGACTTCTTCTCTGAAACGACAACGTCCGGGACGACCACAATGTCATCCATTAGCCTTGACTTGGTTTTGTTTATCATCATTCTCCCTGCCATGAAACTGCCCCTCCTTTGGAAGGAGGTGCATTTCACCACGTGGACATCTCCTCCTCCGCTCCCCTCAACAACGTTGTTCTTGTTGTTGAAGCTAAAAGTCATGCTCCCTGACGTTCTTCTCCTGCTGCGTTGTTGTTGCTGTTGTTGAGGCGGCTCCATCATCTCTTCATCGTCGTCGTCGTCATCAGATGACGACAACGAAGATGATGGAGAATGAGTTTGTTGGTGATGATCGGGGGTGGTATCGACCACTCTGCTGTTGGGAGGCGTTGAATCTCCCGAATGCTCTTCAATGAATTGAACTTTGAGATCTCTTGATGCGGAGATCCGATTGCTGTTGTAGCGACTAGAGAAATAGGGTTCCCGGGGAGGAAAACTAACGGGGGAACATGCACATGCACCCGAGCTGCTGTCACGCAACTCGTCCATTTCCATGTCCATGTCCAGACACATCTCTCCCCCGGCCGCCGCCCTCTGTTTGTTGAGAAACTGGCCGATCAACCTCGACGGCGGGTCCTCCACCACATCCTTACAGCCATTATGTTGGAATTCGAACTCCCCGCTGCCATCGTTGTGGAGAATGTCGCCGCGTTGATTGCTATCTCCGTCTATTTTGATGATGACCTCCCCCCTTTCTCCGTCATGGGGATTATTATTATTATTATTATTATTATGATTATGATTATGATTATTATTATTATTATTATTATTATTACTATGAATTAGGGACGGTGAGCGCCTCATAAGTCATAACTGGAGAGTTCTCATTAGAAGAGGAAGGCGATGCATCGTGACAGCGGTGGTTGCCCAATAGTATTGGCCGGTGCTCGTCATCTGCATCGGCGGCGGATATCCCTAAAGATCGTTGTTTTTTCAAGGATGATAGGCGGCGATCCTTTCTTGATTTCTACCCTTCACGTATATTTCTCTGATCTATATTTTTCCTACACACACGCTATTTCCCTAGCTGTTCTTTTCTTTTTTTTTAAACATAGTAGTTGAAAAACACCCTTTGGTGCTCCTTTTAAATAGGGTGCTTTAAAACACTCTTTATCTATATAGTCTATACCAATAACTAATACACACAAGTACACATATGCCATGTCTTTTAGGTACTTTTTAAATTTGTAATTAGGCCACGGGCTATTTAACCAAATTTAAAGCCTCCTCCTCCATTTCTGTACAGAGGTTAGTGTGATTTTTTTTCATTAAAGTATGCCAATTTTTTTTGTTTAAATGATTAGATATTGAGCTCAATTCTCTATTTTCATTTCTCTTCCTTAGTTTTTATATTTTACTCGTTTATATAAAATGGAGTAATAATATTGTAATAATGCATATAATAATGTAATACGGAGTAATAATAATAATTTGTTTTTAATGCTTTCCAAGTATGATCTGGTCTAATTTTATGAATAAATCAAATGTAATCTACTTTTAATTAAAATAAGTAATATCTAATATGTAGAAAAATAAGTTAGGGGGCGTCTAAAATGACACGAGTTATTTATACACCAGTTCGTTTGGGGTACCTACGGTGCTCCGTTTGTAAAAATAACAGTTCCTACCCCCCTTAACCCTCCCCCTAAACCCCCCACCCCAGCCCCTCCTCCCGCCCCCTGAAAGGTAACCATGCAAGGATAGGCAGCGGAATATAAAAATTTTAACATCCTAACATGATTATCTTGCCCAGAATCACGTACTAAAACTTATAGTAGTAAGAAATTTGTACCTTTTCTCCGTAAGCGGTAAAACGAAGAAGTCGTAGGAAGAGCGTTGAAAGCGCAAACGTAACCGTTCAAGCGTCCGGTCTCCAACTTTGACACACGAACAACGCCGGAGTCTACCACAATCTTTATGCTAGTAAAGATTATAGTAGTATAAAATATAAAGATTAAAATTGGGATAATAATAATCTTGTATATTTCTATAGAAAATATTTCTAATAATATTTAGAAAAATATTATAGATATTTTCTATACACAAAATGATATTAATGGAAC